CAGGAGGGCCAATGAAAAGGTGGAGGAAATGAGCCAAGCAGAGGAGGAGTTCAACATTGAGAAGGGCAGGCTTGTTCACCAGCAGCGCATCAAGATCCAGGAATACTATGACAAGAGGCTCAAACAGGTCAACCTGCAGAAGAAAATGTAAGTACATATCATTCTTGTGGTCTCTCATGACAGGATAGATTGTAGTTGCTGTTTCAACCATCTCTGTGTATGGGGTTGTGTAACCCTTAAGGCTTTAAGCAATGTCTAAAAAATCTGATGAAAATTTTGTATAGGTATTTGTTCTTGACAAGCCTGACCCTTGACATGAGGTCTGATGCCTATGAGGAAATGGAAGTGAAAGAGTTTTAAGATAATTAGTTAATGCACAGATAACAGTAGTAGTACTGTTATCTGTGGTTAATGTTTTCCTGAGGATGATGTAGCATTATAACTTTACCCATTCTAAACAAGTTTCCTGAACCATACCTGGGTGTCTGGGTGATGGGTCTTAATCAACTTTGACAGCGCCATGATGTTCTCGACTACACGTATATAAACTGAAATGTCATAGTCAAAATTCCTCCCTCAAGCTGCTAGGGTGAAGGTTAAATGCCTCTCTAGATTCATGTAGATGATAAATTGACAGAATTGTAAAGTTTGGGGGCTGGGGCATCACCGTATCCCATCAACACTGCACGGTGAGCGGACTGTACGATACAATTGAACCGTCTCTATCGCCGATGTGTTGCACAGCCTCGTCATTATGGTCGATATCTTGTCAGTGAATGAATTATGGGTGGCAACCCTGCCCAGTGCCCACCCCGTGGCACCGAGAAATGACTTTTATGCCGTTTCTATGTCTACAGATTTATGACCGTTTTTCGGGAAATCGAGCATGCCCTCATAGATTGATTAGTTCCTGAGATATAACCGGAAATGTAAAAGTGCAAAACCTACCGCTTAATCTCGCGAGAGCCGTACTTGATTCAAACTCATGTCAACTGATAACATTTAGAGTCAGGTCAACTTCTGACAAATTTAATATCGAAGGAGAATATCTATGAACATGTTGTCTTTATTTTAGTTTTTTTTTCGTGCCCTCACCGAGCCAGTGTTGGGCCGAATAGAGCCCGTGTGACCGTACTTTTCTCTGCTCCCCGCAGCCAGAACTCGAACCTGCAGAACCAGGCGCGCCTGAAGGTGCTGAAGGCGCGCGAGGACCACGTGTACGGCGTGGTGGAGGAGGCGCGACGCCGGCTCGGCCAGATCACCAGCGATCCGCAGCGCTACGGGCCCGTGCTGCAGGCACTCATCGTCCAGGGACTCTTCCAGGTGGGCATAGGCGCTGTTGGAAGGCTGGTACAGGGGTTGTTTCTGATAGTTCAAATGTCAAATGACTTCCACGAAGGATGGTCTAGGAACCATGATGATCCAGGGGTCTGCTGAAGAGAGGGCTTTTGTATCTGTGGGTCGGACTTTTGATAATTATGAAATGGAATAAACAAATATCAACAGTTGATTTTGCAGTCATGGTATCACGTTACATTCGTCATTTCGAAATGGATGTTGAATGCTGGTGCACCTTACTAGGATGCGCCTGCGCTTTCATTCATAATTCAAAGATAGGATTCGACGCTTGTGCCGAACTTCCTAGGGGGATAATTTTTGAGACTCCTGTGCACTTCCTTGGGATTGATGAATTCAAATGCATGGTCGGACGTGGTCCGGTGTTATCCATTTGTGATACTTTTTTACTTTCTGTAAATGTATTTTTTCTCAATTCCAAGAGGTATTTGTTATTACTTCCATTTGACATTTTCATAACCGCGTATCGTCGTTTTTATCTACATCGAATGGAATGCTTCACTAAAATTCGCGTAGTGTCTCACGTCATTTAACAATAAAGAGCGACCACCGTTCTTTGTTCACCACACGGCAGTATTTGACTCTGTGTGCTGCTCGCTGGTATCCGTATACCGTACCCAGCTGAGTCTGAGCCCGGCCTGTCTTTCCGCAGCTGCTGGAGCCGGTGGTGACGGTGCGCTGCCGCCAAGCGGACCTCTCTCTGGTCCAGAGCATCCTGGACAGCGCCGTCCGCCAGTACAAGGAGGCCACCAAGGGCATGAACGTCCAGATCAAGATCGACGACACCTTCCTGCCGGCCAACGTGTGAGTAGACGGCGCCCCGTGTCGAGGGAGTGCCGTGTTAGCGAAGGCTACTGGCGCCGTGGTAGGCCTGGTGTCCGGTACCGTGCGAGGGAAGGCGACTGGTGCCGTGGTAGGGCTGGTGTCCGGTGCCGTATTAGGAGCCGGGCGTTCGGTGACAGGTGCGGTTGTAATGTCAGTTTTTAAGTGTTGTTTAACGGCAGATTAGGTACCTTATTTAAATGACAACCACTCGGTGTTGTTTAAATGTAGTGACTGTCACCGATTCGACGTGTGGTGTTGCCTGCACCCTTACCGATTGTAGCGTTTTTATTTAGGTATTATTTTTCTAATCGATTTGTCAAATATGCTACCCTTCCATCATCGGCGTGCACTAACGCTCCCGCTTCTACTCTCGTCGGGCAGGTGCGGCGGTGTCGAGATGCACACTAAGGGTAACCGGATCAAGATCGTCAACACGCTCGAGTCGCGACTGGACCTGCTGGCCGGCCAGATGCTGCCCGAGATCAGGACGTCGCTCTTCGGCCGCAACATGAACCGCAAGTTCGACGACTAGACGCTGACTGTGTGGCGGAGAGTGAGGAGAGTGCCGGAGGACGGCTGGTACGTGACTGCCCGCTGACTGGGATGGTGGTAGTTGTCAGTTAAATTTTACTTGAGCGGTGTTCCGTGGGTGGATGAAAATAGGCATTGGCAATTGCATCGATTAAATGATTCGTGTTATCTATGGCCAATGTGTTGATAATTTGAGGGGGCCGCAGTTTTGTTGTTGCTGGGAGTTACAGTCATATTTAATTACATCGGTTTTTATTGGCACAAAATTCAGTCACTTCCCTTAGCTGTCAAGTGGATCAAATGTTACAATGTGCATGATGTCTTATCGCCTATCTTGCTGATTGGTGCATATCTGGTCCGGTTTCAGCTGGCCACGAGTCGCGCAAACACCGATGTTCCCGTTCAGCGGCGTACTCGAGGGCCGTTTTATCACCCCGCCCTCCACGGGGCGCCCACTCTGGGCCAGTGGCGCCCTCTGCTCGGCGCTCGGAGCACGACTGCGCGTGTGTCTGTGTATGTGTTCGTCTGGCAGTTTAGAGCGTTGTGACGGCGGCGCGGACCGAGCTATCGCCGTGCCCTCGAGATCATTCCAAGCCGATGATGATGTGTTGATTGTCAGGGGAGCGGCGCGCTAGAGTATGCACGAGAAGGCCATAGAGTCGCGCCGCGAGCGGTGAAGCAATCCAATATATGTATAAATAATGTGTATGTATACTAGGCAGAATATACAACGTATCCGAATCTTCGTCTCTATTCGTTTGAGATTCGATTATGATGGTTTTGGCGACGAGGGCATAGATGTGAGCGGTGGTGAGCTCTTAAGGACTTCTAATATCTATTTATGTGCGATGGACTGAAACGCGTGAAAGCTGCATTCAGCGTCGTGAAATTGCGCCATGGACACTTTGGACAGGCCATAATGCGTGCAGCTGCACGATCGTTTCTTATTGCGGGCTCGGGCCGCAATAAGAAACGAGGGCTCGGGCCAACGCGGCCTTTTCAGATCCGGAGGGATGATAGGAGTTAGGGGGAGACGTCGTAATCGTCTGGGTGGTCACACAGGTGACTCGTCGTCGGGGCTGGGCCCATCCAGTGGGCAGGCCAGCCAGCCCCGCAAACGGTCACCTCATCGCGCGTAGTCCTGCTCCTGGGGAGCTGCCCACATCGGACTTGAAGGTGACCGGGAAATAATTTGACCATTAAGGGAAATAATTTGACTGTCCTGAGCCCTGAGGATTGAAAATGACTCAACGGAGCCAGGACGCGAGCGATCCCTGGTTGCCCTTGATTAGCTTCCCCCCGCACTCTCACGGTGAAGGCCGGTCTCGCCCGTTGACTGAGTGCCGCCATTCACGAAGTCCGGGCGGTACAACTTCGAGCAAAGAATCACGCCCTGCCGCAGGGAGCTCCACTTCGGATGGTGGTGATCAGCGGGCCCCTGCCTCCCCACCCACCTCCCCAGACCGGAAGTTCTGAGGGTGGCCAGGCCTGGGTATCCCTCCCCATCGAGTCGATCCCCCTCTTCGCGAGCGTCCGTCCACCATATCAATATCCGCGCCGTTCGCTGGTCTGCTTATCCAGTACCTCCGCCAAGTTAGGAAGAGACCCGCGGCCTTCTGCAATTACTGCGGGAACGATGTGCGCTACAGCCCGATTGAGACTCTTGCGGGAAGTAGTGGGTAGCCCGGCACATACTATTGAGGTGTCCGTAACGACAAATGAATGACAAGCATGTGGAGCTGAGGCCGGTGGCAGGACCTTTCAGTCGCTTCTCACGCCTGTGACTCTGACCTGGTGAGGGGCAGCTTGTCAACTGAGAGGTGAGTCAACAACAGCTCTTAGTTTGCATTATGCATGCAGAAATCGTAGAACATAACAGGGATAAACGTGGCACCGAGGCGAACATACTTGATATCAAGCTACAGAGAACGCGTTTTATAGTTCTCGCACTCTCGCAATTCCCTTCAATAGCCAGGAGGATCTCTTGAAGCCTCAAATAAATCCTTCGTATTGCAGTGCTACCATATTTATTGGAAGCCATCTATCGTCATACGTGCGTCGAAAACGCCGCTTTCTTCAGTGGGTGTCAGTGGGTGTGTCGGCGAATGTCAGAGGCGGATCGTTTTTTACGCTATTTTTGAAGATACTGTATTTTTCAGCGTGGGAAAGGACTGAAAAGGTAAGTTTATTCTTTTGTGAACTTATCTTGCTCCATGTTTAAGGCCTCACGGAATTACTTAGTCGCGTAGAAGTCGTGAACCATCACGCCGGTCGCCCCTCCCACCCTTGAAGTCGAGAGCGGCGTCCCCGCCCTGTACCTTTTATGCTTTGCTTAATGATACATTTTTTAACTTCAAATAAATTATTAATTTAACTGTGATCTCGCTGGGCTAGCCCCTAGTAGTCCCATTGGCTTTCTGCTCACTTGTTGTTGAAATAGGACGCATAGCCTTGCGACCCAAGCGTCCAAAACTGGATGCTTGGTTCTGCTCACTTATTATGAACATTGTTCTTAATTTTAGAATTGATTATTTCTTATTTAAAAATCAATGCTAGACAATCAGGAGGATAATTACTTACATACTTGTTATAATTTATACAAGAAATTTAATTTCATCTAATGACTGTATAATTTATTAAAGAAATTTAATTACTGTTGGTACGTCGACAATTTTGGCATCAGTAGTGAGCCTGGCCTGCCTTGGAAATTAACGAATTTTTCCTTAGGTGTTAGTGTTACTGTAAAATGGGGTGTTAAGGGATAGTTTTGAGGTGTTTTGCTATATAACTCAAGAAGGGTTGGGGATAGAAGCATCAACTAGTCAGCATTTTATGTGGAATTGGGTGCTTTACATGCCCGCTACATTTAAGTTTTAAAAATATGTGCATGCGTATTATTTTTTATTATTTTTCATCACTGTCCCTTAGCACCCCAATGTGGGGTGTTAAGGGACACATATGTTATTCCAAGAAATAGTCATCAAATGCCCACAATTGGGGTGTGGAAGGGCACACAATTTATTTATTGAAATGTTTTGCATATTCTGTCACAAAACAAGTCAGGTTCATTAACCACTAGTGGCCTTTTTAGCCAATTACATATAATGCAGTTCACGCTTCTGGAAAATGTGCTAATTATAAGGTAAACAGAACCAAAAAGTACCCTTCTGTCATCAACAAGTCATTTAGTACCCATGTCATTTAGCCGGTCCCGTAGCTCAGTTGGTTAGAGCGTTGGACTCCGCGTGGTGAGAGCACGCGTTCCCGGTAATGACAGTCCGGGTTCGAAGCGCGACGGGCGCTCGACATTTATGGGCCTCCTGACAGGTATGGCTGCGGTTGGTGGCAGGCCGTAGCCAGGTGAAGTCAGCGAGGGGACCGGCCGTGCGCGGCTTTGTGCGCACGTTAAACTTTGGACTCTAAATTCTGCCATAGAATCAGAATTGCGCGATCGGTGGGTAGAGGGCAGGGTCATCGCAACAAGCTTCGCTTATCGGTGGCTCTGTCCTTGTGAATCCTTCCCATCAAAAGGTTCGGACTAAATTTATAAAAAAAACCCATTTTGAAGCTAGTCACTTGTCATTATGTTGCCCTCTTTGTTTTGGCCTTTTTATGATGACATCACATTTACCTACATCAGTCTTCATTGACCCATCATTGTAAAAGAGAGCATTAAGGGAGTTTTGAGGTGTTTTGTTTTATAACTTAAGATGTGTTAGAGATGAAAGCATGAACTTGCCAGCATTTTATGTGGAATTTGGTGTTATCCATGCCTACTGAAAGAAAAGTTTATGAAATTATATTTAGATATTATTTTTTTATTTTTTTCTTCCCTGTCCTTTAGCACCCCACTGCACCTCAAAATATGCATGTGTCCGAAAAAGAGGAGGATGATGATGAATGAATGGGTGGATTTGTATAAATTTTTCAGGAAACATGTGCAATACATGTGACAATGCACCTATGCATTCATTTTACCTGTACTCCTACTAGTTTATGTGGTACACACAGAGTTTTGGAGATGTCTCAATTTTGTGAAAATGTAACATGATTTTCAAAACCATTTTTGAACCAAATCACTTGCATGAAAAACCATGTCATTTTGTCCTATAGTCAAGAACAAAACAGTGTCAACTACCACACTCAAGTTTTTATTTAACCTTCTCAAATTAGGAACTTAACATGACTCAAAGTTTTTCCCACGCAACTGTCCCTTATCACCCCACTGTCCCTTAACACCCCATTTTACGGTAATTGAGAAATGCATTTATTCAGTCAAAACACAATATTGCCTCTCATTTTGACAACAATGAACTACCTTCTTTGATGCAATTGCAGTAGTATTTTTGTGATTGCTCAATTTTGATCATTGTTTTTCTTTTTAAACATTAACCATTAACCAGTAGTAGTGGCAGAACACCTTCAATTAAGGGGGGCAGTGGGCACTGCCGACTTTTAGTCCCTTTCTTCCATGCAACGCCCATAGGGCTAATGTTAAAATGCCAAAATCAAAAGGGGGCACGGTGCCCTCCCCGTTCCGCCGCCAATGCCATTAACCAGACAAAAGAAAATCAAATCTAGTGTTACCCCAAGCCAGAGGCTGCTACAGAGTCTGTCTTCAAAAACAAATAAGTTTTGGATAATACAAAATAACGTAAATGCTAAGATAGGTATTGAATGTTAGCTTTTTTGTGACATGGTCTTGAATATGATGGCTGTGGCTGTGTGAATGTGTGGCTGTTTTACCTTCAGTGGATAACAGAACAAGACACAAATGCAGATCTACCTATGTAAATCAATTGCAAGCAAATGTATGGTTATTATTGAGCTGGTGATGAGCATTTGATCATACTATAGTCTAGCAAACCTAACAAAGATCTAAGAAGTTTGCCAGACTATTGTTCTTGCCCTTACCCATACCATGTTTCAATAACTGACAAAATGAAGTGTAACTCTTTGTATCCTCTGTGTGAGCTGCTAGATTTAATAAGGTAGGAGATGCCTTTGCCCATTTTATGTGTGCGTCTGTTTACCATTACTTGGTTAAAGCTATTTTTTGGAAGGTTTGTGGGAATTAGACAATACAAAAAGTCCTGGCAGGAATGATATTGCATTTTCTACTGTTTTGGTGTATGCTCATCAAATCAACCTAATGAGTAAAAACACAATTATACTTTTAATTGTGCCATTTTGCCCATTACAATCAGGTAACCAGCTAAGTACAGTAACCACTACCATTAAAACTATAATTGTCCTGTGGGCAATTGAATATGCAATGAGCATCTTAGCTTGAATCATGTGTCAAACACAAATGCATCTCTAGCCTATTTCACCAAAGTTGTCTCACCTCAAACCATGATATATTCACAAAGTACCATGCATTCTACCAGATAAGCTATGAAATCAAACTAGAAGTCCAAAAGAAGGGATAAGTCTAAGAAGGCTGAAGTACCTAAAGGCAGTTATCTGTAAGCCTCTGTCATCTAGAAAGCAGCTGACATACAGATTAGCAAACAGTTGCACACTAATAAGTCACATTATTTATTAGGTTGATGTGAGATAACCCGCGAATTTTGAGTTAGTTGGTAACAGTGGCCAGTGCACAGTGGCTTGTGTGTGGGTAATCAGTATTCAACACATTTCATGCCCAAATGTATGCACAAGTCCTAGTGTAGATGCTATGACTTATTTGTGCCAACAAAAAGGACAGAAGTTACCATAGGGGGGGGGGGGGGGGGGGTTCTTACTGTTGAGTGTCTTGTCCACTAAGCTCTTAAAAAACCTTTGGCCCACACTCCACAGGACGTTTCATAAGAAGAATTCAAAGCATTCCAATAAAGTTGTGAGAAATTGTGAACTCCACGCACTTTGCCGATAATTGACACCAACAAACATGTGTCATCGCGGCCGCGACATTTTAGTACCAAACAGAGGTGTTGTCGTTATCACGCACAGTTATAACACATATTTTTTTTCGGTATTATATGATGGTCCTTTTCCAAACCGTGACGTCACAAGGAGGGCTGCTTTTGTTCTTGCGCTATTTGGTATTTCTGCTGAATGGTATGTCAGTCACGCTCACTCGGGCTGTAGTGTATGCGTGACACTGTAAAACAATATTCCTTTTTTCTCGCCTGGACGATGCGATGGTATTCGTTTTCAGTTTCCCAGGGACACGCCAGTAGTGGCCATTTCTACAAGTGTTATGCACACGATCCTGGACTACCCAGGCTGCCGTTGACGTTTGATGGGCTGTGGGATAGCCTCACATCTGGCTGAATGACTGGATGTGCGTTGGAACCGTTGGACCACCTGTTCAAGTGAAGTGGGTGCTTCAGCTGTGGCCTCTGCGGGCCCGCTTCCTGTCTGGCGCCCGGCCAGACACGGTGTTTTAGCGTCCCGCCTCCCCCCGGAGCACGCGTGGCTTCCGGCTGTCCGTCGTTCGGTCGCCGCCGTCCGTCAATGCGGTGGCTTTAAAGCCCCGGGGCCTGGCGTTATCACTGCGAACGGGCCCCGGCCGGAGTTTTTGCCGTGGACGCGGCGGACCGGCTCCGTCCGGTGGCTTACGGTAGCGCCCGTGTGCCTGTCCCGGAGTCGGGGGCTGATGCGTCTATCTGTACGGAGTTGGTGCGTCTACTGCGGCCGGAGAGAGCAGACAATGTACGGACATGATGGGCGACGGGCGCAGTCCGCCGGCGGCCGGCGCCGGCCGGTGCCGCCCCCTTCATGTCCCGTCCGGCGCCGCCCGCCCGGCGTCGGCTCTATCGACCGGCCGACGCGGACAGCCTCTGACAGGGCGCCGGCCGCCGCGCTGCCAGAGGCTGTACACAGCTGCCGACGGCGGCGGCGAGGGCGTAGCCGCGCGCCGCCATCGGACCGGTGGCGCTCGAGCCGACCGACGCGCCGTTCGTGTCGAGCCGGGTCGCGCGGCTCTGCTGCCGCCGCTGAATCAGCGCCAGAAATAGCGCCGCTGCCGGCAGAGGGGCGGCCCGTGAGCTGGAGTCGGCAGCCGTGAGTGGGAGCGAGACAGCGGCGGAGTGAGGCGAGTGGCAGTGAGAGACGGCGGCGGTGTGTGCGAGCCGACCGATCCGACCGAACCAGAGCCACAGGAGGATCCCTGCCAGGTAAACGAGTCGCCGCGAACCCAGACTTGCTGCTGGCTGTAACGAAAGCGTTCTCATCGTGATGGTGGGTGCCTTTTTATCAACTGTACCCAGCGGCAGTTTTCACTGTCCAGTCGGCTATTGTCATTATTTTGCTTTTCCCTTTTTTAGTGGCGTTCCGTCTGCCCCACCCTGTTCAGTTCATGGCCATTGACACCGGTGACCTGGGCTCGGGTCAGGCTATCCTCGTCAGTCAGTGGGCTGGGTCACAGACCACAGTCCCCGCGCCTGCGCTCCCGTCCCGTGGCTCCGCGGTGTCGGCTCGTCCGGATCGGGCTGGCCCGGGTCAGGCCACCGCTCAGCCGACGCCAGACCTGTCTGAATAATTCACGAGTGCTGTGTTGCCGACTCGCCGTGCTGCGGCCGCAGTTTGGGTGTCAAGCGGCCTTAGCTGGCACTGTTGGCAGGGCAGAGATGTGGAGGACAAATGCTAAGAGAGGTTTTCTGAGAGCAGTGTGACTATTGGAAAGGTCTGAGGTGACTATTGGACTATAGCACTATTGGTGACTATTGGTGACTATAGCAGTGTGACTATTGGAAAGGCCTGGAGATCCCGATGAGAACGGGATCTCCAGGCCAAGTGGCCTTTTCCCTCCCGATCACTGTGAAGGTGAAGGTAAGGTAAGGTCTGCTTTGATAAGTGGCAGAATAGGAGCGTTTCGCTCTGATGGCTTGCGACTGAATCGGAGATGTTCCACCAAGAGAGGTGTGGCTGACATGAGTCACGCACGGCCTGGTTGTTGTAAGTGAAGGTGTGACTGCGGCTGTGTGTCAGCCATTTAAATGGACGGACACTCGGGAGCGGCCCGGATCGGTAGGGTGCGGGTGGGGAGCGGCGCGGCCGGCGGCGGTGAATGACCCCTAGCCCGTGCCGCGCTGCCGACCGCGCCGGAGAGCGGGCGTGTGAAACACCTGTGGAACTGGGCCGACACGGCAGCACACTGCTCCGTCCGCACACAGCGCCCGGCCCCGGGGACAGTCGGAGAGTCGTGTCACCGTCTGACGCCCCGGCCCCGGGGACAGTCGGAGAGCCGTGTCACCGTCTGACGCCCCGCCCGCGACGCTGCCCACGGACCGACTGCACCGGCCTTGTCGGGTCATTTACCCTCATTGGGGATGACGTGAGCGCACGAGGGTGCCGCCGGGCTCACTTCCTGTGTATGTCACACAAGACGGAGCAGAATGGGGTGGGCACTTGTGCAGGCATTGTGGTATAGGTTGTGAGCGGTATGCGCTTCAATCTTCATCCTCGCGGCCGCGGCTGGGTCGGTATGTGCGCCCTGTTTGCAGGTCGCTCCTGATACAGCCTAACCGGCCGATAGCGATGCTTGCCCTAGCGGTCGGCGAACAGCGGCATAGCTGCTGTTGGATAACCGTCGTGCCGGCAGCCTGCCTGTCTGGTTGATACCACGACGCTGGCCGAGGACCCTGTCTCGTGGGAGCGCGATCGGCCGGCCGGCGGGGTGGCGGACAGCTGGCGGTAATTGTCCCACGGCCAGCCGTGTAATTGGTTCATCCGTGGACGGCGCCCTGGCGGGTACCCTCAGAACAACAGCAGACTGACTGAGCAGACCGCCCCTAAGGCCCTCACCGCCGCCGGGTCCCATCGTGGCAGAACTGGGTCCGGCCCTCAGGAGATGAATCTGAAACTGAACATTTGAGCAACGGAGGAACTGCGCGACAGACTTACCCGACTGATGTATCAAATTAATTACTTGGTTGTTTTCTTCTTACAACGCCTATTCCTCTTGGACATGAAACCAATTTGGCAAGCCAAGCTCCATTTGTGGTACCGCCCACTTTGACTCTCGGATTCCGCCTGCCCTTGTGAGCTTCTCTGCCTTGTGCCCCATGGGACGAACCGAATGGCTAAGTGCACCCGTATCGCCCTCAGCGGTGCAGCCGGGGGCGCTACGGAAATACATTTAAAGTTGGAAATGCGTTTTAGAGTGTTTTCATTTCCTTGAAACATTTTTTAATGCATTTTCGTCGGCTTTGATGTTTTCAGAATCCTTTTGTTCGGCCTATTGTTTGTTTGGCATTGAGTCGATGTCCAACCGATCAAAACACGCTTCTCGCCGGGTTCTCAGGTTCCCGGGTCGGGTCGGTGTCCGATCGGCCGGCACCCGGTCTCGACTGGCGGCCGGCGCGGCGACTGCACTTCAATAGGAGTATGACTCACCACTGTCCGGCCCGGCCCGCTGTAGGGCTGTGCCCAGCGGCCGGGCAGACGGTGCCGGTGCTTGATCGATAGTCCTCTAACCCTCGGCCAGTCTCCGCCGTCCTCGACTGTCGGTCTCTGCCGGCGGTGGCACCTCGTGTGTCTCGCCCGATCGGCGTCCTCGGCGGTCGGTAATGTCGGACCGACACCCGCCCACGGCCCCGCCCACCGACCATCGTCCGCCGTCCGTCCTCCGTCGTCCTCCGCCGGCCGTCGGCCTCAGTCGCTGTCGACGCAGACAGTTGGGCCGTCGGTGGGGGGAGTCTGTTGCCGAGTAGCGTGCCGCCGGCGCCGCAAAGGACGGGGTTTCACGGGCCGGCAGGACCGCTCGGTCGATAGGCTGCCGGTTGGACACACAGGGCCAATGTCTGGCCCTCCCTCCGCTGCCGACTTACCGCAGAGCCTCGCCTCTCTGTATCCTCTGACTGACGGAACACAGTGCGGTATGAGGAGTGGGTACTGGGTATCGCCGGCAGTGGCCGGGTGGGTCGATTGTGTTGCTAGAGAGGTGACTCAGGCTGTGGCGGGCTCTGCCAGGTCAGCAGCAGGTGAAGAGAGAGAGAGAGAGAGAGAGAGAGAGAGAGAGAGAGAGAGAGAGAGAGATCATTGTATTAACAGACTCGAAGTCCAATAACATGGTTGGCTCGTACATGAGCAAGGATCACACGTCACTGAGATGACAGCTGACGGTCCCACATCCTTTTGTAGGGGGAATATGTATACAAATCACTACCGACAAATTGAGCAATTATACAGTTTTCCGACTTTTCGATGCGTTTAATAAAGCCATAGGCCGACTTCCTGAACATGATGTCAATATTGTCAATGCCTTCGCAGGCGTACATCGCTGATGCACTGGAAAACTTATCATACCCACAAAAATAGTCGGGTGACGAAGAGGTGACGGACTGGGAGATAACGAATAGGGCGGGTGTCGGCGGGCGGGGTGACATAGATGGTCTGGTGCCAGGAGGCCCGGCGACGCTCTGTTGTCAGGCGCACAGTCAGCAAGGGTTGGGCTAGTTGAAAGATGTTATTTCCCCTGTGTGGTGTTATGTCATGGATCAGCCGTGTATGCCAATCGGCCGCAACTTTATGACACCCTCCAGGGAAATTTCGAAGCTTCTTTCCATTGACCTGGCACATTCCTGGGGCGTTCCTCGTCGAAGACCAGTTCAGTATGGGAATTCTCGAAGCCCAAACATCATCATTAGTATCTAGCACACTCACTTTCAGTGAGTTTTCTGAGAACACGTTCGCTTTCACGCGTCGGATCTGATCTCACGATACTATCTGAGTCTCGGGTACGTGTTACGGCTACTCCTGAACTTGATAACATCAGTAGCGCTATACGTCAAGCGTTTTTTGCATACGTTCTGCCATTTATCGGTGTTGTAAAGGAAAAGGTGCACTATCATCGCGGATTACCTGGCTACTTATGGCGGCCAACACTCCCACTGATCTTACTATCGCTGCCAGGCGTTAACAACCTTAAAGCTAGCGGTGTTCGCATTTAATTTGAAGGGAAACGTCGCCATCGGGCGTACGTGATATCTTGTGATCAGATGCTTTTTAGTATTCGCGATGTGGGCTGTGATCTTTGGGTCGCTTTTGTGTACGACCCCTGACTGCCGCAGCGCCGTTAGAGTGCATGCAAATCATTCGCCCGCACGATCCCGATTGTCTGATCTCCTGAACAGGCTGCATTCGTACAGATCTACCACCATCACTCGGTGCTCATCCATCTGCCTCTGACCGCTGCACTGGCCACATTGGCCAATAACGCCGCTGCACCGTACCCACCACCCATTGCCGACCGTGTGGTGTGACGCCAGCCGCCCACTGGTCGTCACGGCACACCGACCTCAGACCGCGCCGCGTCCCTCCAGTCATGCCGGGGCGTCGGGCGTCGGGCGGCGGGCTGGAGGCGGCCACTTCACGGTCCATCAGCGCCGCCGCCGCCGCTGCCGCCGCTCGGTCTGTCTTGTGTCTACCGTCCGCCGCCCCCGCCCCCGCCCCCGCCCCCGCCCGGCGGCCATGGCGGTTCGTCCGTCAGCCGAGCCGTGGCCGAGCCCAGCGCGCCCGCGCCCGGGATGGGTGATGTCATCACTCCGCGGCGGGAGGGGGCGGGGATGGAGGAGGCTGGAGGCTCACAGCTCGTGTGGCCGCTGTGAGCTGAAGGCGGGGGGTCGGTGGCGACTGGGCCGGTGCAGCTCTACGCTGTGCAGCCGGCTTATTGGCGAGGATGAGTGGTGTGAGAAGGACAGGAAATGTGTGCTCTGCTCGCTGCCACCGGCTGAGCGAGCGGTTTTAGATGGGCTGACGCCAGTTTGCGGCGGCTGCGATCCGTGCTTCAGGGGATCTGGTGGATAGAGGACTATTCTCTCAGAGTCGCTGTATCCTGCCATTGTCTCCTCTGGCGTGTCTGCTCATTGTGTCAGTCTGGTCCATGATTGTGTTACATATGGTCCATGATTGTGCTACAAATAGTGTTCGAACACTGATAAATTGGAAAATGTCTACCTATTGGTGTGATCATTTTATTTATTTATTTATTTTTTTTTTTGGTCAGGCCGCAGCCTCATCTTCCCGTGTTGAGACAGGATTTCCACGAACTCATGAGGGCCACGGCAGCTAAACACTTGGCTTCCATGATGTTCACGGACCCGTCCGACTCTGTCCAGTGCCGCTCCCGGCGACAGTCTCGGCGTCTCGTTCCCTGGACAGTCTGTCCGCCCAC